TCATAATGCAAACGTTTTTGCTGGAATTGTTTAGAGAAATCATCCCGTCAACAGTCATCTGCTTGAAGAAAAGACGCCGTCTAGAAACATCAAGAGAACATTTCTATAATAATATTTAACAATTTACGCGATTTCAGACGATCCTAACATCATGTAAGTCATTGCCAGCATGATACTTACTATTTCTTTGCATACCCCGTCAGACTCATTCACTTAATACATTTTTCTTTGGTCTGACCTTGTCGAATGTTTAATTATGTCAGTTGTAAATTAAGTAATTTCCCAGAATATTTATTTTAACCCGGTACTTTCTTATTCTTCAAAATAAACTTCTCTTYTTTCAAGGTAGTCCCCGTCCTAAAAAAATACACTTTTACTTTCTTGAATTTGCTGAATAGCAAGAAGTCGCACAATCCGGGTGATTACGGCAATTGGAAATCGACGATTTTAACGCACCAAACTTTTGATGTACGTTGCCTCGCTTGTGCCATAGTCAAGGCTCTTCTGCAACATTTTCAACGTTCCACAAACAAAATTTTATTTTAAAATTCACTTTTGGTTATTACACCTGTAATCTTAAGATGCAATCAAAAAAAAAAAAAGTACCTGCCCTCCTGATATCCCGAAGTATGGACAATTACACATAATTTTTTTTATCACGGTATGTACATCTTATACATACATATATAAAAATTAATCGCAAAATCTGTTGTTAAGCGCATAACTCAACAACGCCTGGACCGATTTGACCAATTCTTTAATGGCCATTTCGAATAATTGCCGTAAAACTCCTAAAAACAGCCCTTTTCTGTTTCCCATACAAACGAATGAATGTTTGTTTGTGAGTAATGCTAAGAGAACGGCTGCAACAATCTTGATGAAATTTTCAGGGGTTGTTCGTTGTGGATCGGGGAAGGTTTAGAAATAAAAATACCTTATACCGTTCATGAGGAAAAGTAGGAAAATTGAACTCTTCCAAAAAGTAGCTTTTTTCCATAAAATTTTTTTTCATTTTTTTGTTTGTTTTCTTTTTCAATATTTTGATTTGTAAATTATTTGAATCGTCCAGTTTCGGTCGCCTGCTGTTTTATTTAGGATATTCAAAAGAAAAATTATTGAAAACTATTCAGTGAAAACTTCATACAAAGTGATCAATTGCGAAGAGGTCGCCCTAATACCGGTCGGCGTTCTTTTTGCCATCAACGTATGGCAGCCAAAGCCAAGGCAAGGCAAGAAGTACTCCCAGGATACGGTGACATACGTGCGTAATTATAGATCAGTTACGATGTTTGATGGACTTTATCTTGAGGCAACGTATATTGGTATTCTGTTGAGTGGCAAAAGAGAGGTTTGCCGCACGCACACACTCATTTTTGGATGGTGGTTACACCAGATCAAATTGATGAAATCATTTCTGCGGAAACTCCTAATCCACTTCGGTTTGTATGTCTGACAAGAAATGCACCAAACATTATCCTTTCTTTCGGAAACACAAAACTTGAAATGATGTATATCCACTCTATCGGCATCGCTCACCAGACGATAATGGTAGAACATTCAGCCTTCAATTTAGAATAGTGAATATCGAAGTTGACAACACACAGATCGTCATATATTCACCATTATTGTCTAATTCACATTCAAAACTCATTTTAATGTTGAATTTTGCAGTTTGGAGTACTTGATAAAATACGTTTGTAATTACATCACCAAAAGAAGCAACATGGCGGTTATTGGTCCTAAACGATAGTATCGACCGTATCGTTTAAGACCAATACCTTCTGTTGCTATTGATTATTGTACGCGACTCAACTTCATTTGAGTCATTGCGTAGTGTGAATGRTACGGTGTGTGCCACTTTTTGAGAAGCAAGCCAGCAAATACAATTGCTGGAACATGATAATCACTGGAATGAAAATGAAGTTCGCACATTTTTCGTGATAAACATTTCGACATATCAGCCTTCAAATCCGCGTCAATTATAGGATACAAACAAAAATTACATTGCCGAAGATATTTTACATCGTCTTCGCTAAAAATTGCAAATGGGTCAATTCCGGTTGATATTTATAATGGTTTAATATCAATGCCATCTTCCCTTTATCAATTCACGAAAGATGAACTCATTACGAATGTTTGGACCTTGGCCAAATTATCGTAACAACGATTCCTTAAGCGCACCCGCAAACCCAAAAATACCGATGTTGTTAACTTAAACTGTAAGATTCAAAGTCAAATTCCGGGAGACTTGCGTTCTCACAAATCGGTTGAACGTCTTGACAGTGAAGACGACGTCGTGAATTATAAAGTGGAATTTCTAAACTCTTTGGACAGGCTTGCGTTTCAAAGTTGGATCTGTCGTTATAATGTTCCGCAATCTGCGCTATCGAATACAAGGGGACAGAATGCAGTTGTGACCGCTGAACCCTCAAAAACCACTCACGATTTCGTTGACGTACTATCATCCTTAATGACGCAATGAGGAGGTAAAAAGTACCTGCACTTGGAAAACATTATTTCAAAAATTACCGACATATGACCAAGGACCAATATCTYAGAGTCTTTCTGGCGAAAAACCGTTGATCAAATGTTCAACATTTCCATAAAATACACAACAGCCAGTATGCTATTTGAAGCAATATAGGATTTTCTTTGATGTGTACTCACGGTTTTTCCGGCTTTACCAAAGTTGTCAGCTTGTGTTTGCAATGCACGCTCCACAATTTCTTGAGTTAAAAATTGTAACAYTATGCAGTCCGCAATTTACTCTTTGGAACCAAGTGACTGAAACGCACATATAAGTGAATTGACCTTGCCCTTAAGAGTTTCTTTGAGTTCTAACGACTTTATATGGCTATTTCAGTTCAAACGTTTTCCGTTTCCAGTTAAAATTGCATTTGAGATGACAATCAGCAGGACACAAGTATAGTTGCATAGTGTGTGGCATAAATTTGGAAATGCTATGTCTTTCACACGGTCAGATATACGTGGCGTGCTCACGAGTTGGATATCCATCTTTTCTGTACGTCGTTACTATTCTAAAAAAAAAAATTTTATCAAGCTGCGTGATAAATTTAACTTTCTCAACTCAACTCATTTCAAAACACATAATTTCACGCAGGACAACGGTTGCGGGGTCAGCTAGTATGTTTGTCCATATATCCGTATTTGGATTGTCATTCTTCCTTTTCCTTCCTTTTGTTTGGTATATGAATTGTATAAAATAGTTAGATTATACTTCCTATACTTTGTATTCGTCATTGCATCCACACTTTAATTTTTGCTAAAGCAAAAGTAACAATTAAGCAAAGGCTAAGTTCGGGTGAACGAGACCTTAAGGTGTAAAACCACCAGAGGATCGTAATCCAAGCAATTTTATATATACATATTCTACATATAACTCATACACTGACCAACATATTTGACATTAGCTTTGTTAAAGAAATGGAAATCATTATATGTAGTATGTGGGAGTTTGGGATAGTATCGACCAGATTTTTTAAGTGCAAATTTGTATACCTTTATATTAATTTTTCTTGATTTGTGTACTGGAAAGTGAAAGAATCCAATGGGATTTAAAATTGTGGTATATGGAAAGTAGCTGTGGATGTAGTCCGATTTTCCCCCATTTCCCCACTAAAATTTAATAACGTAATTAGTTACTGATTTATTGCGCTTTTAGTAGTTTTGAGCTGTAGCGTTATATGGTGAGTAAGCCGGGTTATCTTCCAATTTCATCCATTTTCACACTGTCAGTATGAGTTCTTATAATATTTGAGGTAGGCTAATTTGGTGTCCCTTGCTATTACGATTCTCTGCCAAATTAGAGTATTATATCTTATTAAGTGCTTAGTTATGATATTTTATAGACGTGTGTATGGCAGTAATCCACACGCGCATGCCAATTTCAAGTTACAGTTTGCATTGATGGACGGGCAGACGGACAGACAGACAGTCAACTCGTTTAAGTCATCCTGATCATATCTATTATATATGTATGTATATACTATAACCCCATGTCTGCGTCGATTAATTTTAGGTGATAATTACATCCGTTAGGTGAGCAAAACTATTATACTCTGTAGGTTGCAAGAGTATACAAAAGTTAAATGAGGTAGTTTGTCATGACTTTATGAAATAATTATTTATAAGATGTGTATAAGAGACAGGTATATTACTATTTGTCGTTTTCCTTTCGAATATTTTTAGGTGATGAATCCGATTCCTTAGGCGCTAGTCGCCAAGGAAAAACTACAATTACGAATTCATTAAATAAAGACAAGCGTAAGCCATTTTTCAAAAAGCAAGATACTGCTTCACCTTACGACGTAGTTCCATCTATGCGACCAGTTGTTTTGGTTGGTCCTAGCCTTAAGGGGTATGAAGTCACAGATATGATGCAAAAGGCTCTTTTTGACTTTTTAAAACACCGTTTTGAAGGAAGAATTATAATTACACGGGTAATGGCTGATATATCTCTAGCAAAGAGATCTATTATGAACAACCCTACAAAACGCGCTATCATGGAAAGGTCCAGCAGTCGGTCAGACTGTCTCACTAAGGTTCAAGAAGAAATTGAACGTATATTTGAACTGGCGAGAACTCTACAATTGGTAGTTCTTGACTGCGACACAATAAACCATCCTTCACAACTAGCGAAAACTTCATTGGCGCCTACTATTGTATATCTAAAAATAAGCAGCAGTAAGGTATGTACATTAATATAAAAAAGATGACTTGTGTTTGAAGCTATTGTTTTATATTCTCTCAACATAATTGTTGTTATCTGTTAACTATATGTATAAGTGACTTATCCTAACGTTGAATCTGATAGTTATATTCAGCAAAACCGTAAATGCTTTTAAGCATCCAATTCACGCGATCTTTTTTAAGTAGTTTTTAAGTCTTATTCTTCAATCGCAAAATCGCATTGTCAATAAAAATGAATCGTGTACCTCTTGTTCATTTTAATAATTGAAATACTCTTTTTGTGTTAAATAATAAAAATAATCTTAATAAAAAAAAGCACCTATTCGTCTCAAAAATTGGTATAAGGAAACTCACACATTTTCTTTAAAACACATGTCTGGTTGTACCTTTTTAATAATTCGCGCAATCATGTAAAAACAATATATATTTGTGAAATAAAACTTTCAAGTTTAACAAAAAAATATTAAAAATAAAAAACAGTACAAAAAGAAGAAAAAGTATAAAAACTTTAGAAATAAAATAAAGAAAAGGAAAGCTTTAACATCGTAAAGCTAAACAAAGTAAAGCCAAAGTTTAATATTCTCAAACAAGAAATCTTTATTATCGTAAAGAAAAATATATATATCATATAGAACAAAAACAAGAACACTTTAACATAGTAAAAGAATACATCGATGACTCTAAACAACATGATAGAGAAAAAAGTAAAAATTCGTAAGAAACACAGGTGGAAATAAAACAAATAAACGGTATGGCAAAGAAAAATTCTAATATCATAAAAACTACTTTTGCGCGAAAACTCATTCGTTGAATCTTTTTTCTAGGTTGGTATGACTGCAGTGACTTCTGCCCGGATGTCATATCAAAATAATCATTAGTGTTTACTATACGCTTGTTTTTCTGAAGTATATAAAGTGCTTTCAGCGATTTTTACAATGACAGAAGTTCTTCAGCAACGGAATCAAATTTCTGGTGCCGAAACGTTCAGAATGTTAGAAAAGACCTTCGGCGATAATTTTTTGTCTCGAGCAAGTGTTTTTGATTGGTGCAAATTATTCAGGGTGCCGAGAACGCGTTTCCGACGATCCACGTTCATAACGGCCATTAACATAAACAGATTATCAACACGTCAATAAAATAAAGGAATTGGTGCTTCATAATCGACGATTATCAGTCAGAGATCTTTCTGGCATTCTTGGAATATCGGAAGGATTAGTTAAAATTTTGAAAGATCATTGGGCCTAATCAAAATCACTAACTTAAAAAAACCAGCATAGCATTAACGTCTGTGAAAAAGTGCTTTTCGAATACTAGGATGTCATGAAACGTATTGCATTCAGTCTTGGATCTATGCTTACTACCCAATCTCGAGGGAAAGGTGAACCGAAGCCAAAACCACGTCAAAAACCAAGCATAGGATACTCAATTGTCATCTTCCTCAAAATAATCCCCAATACACTTGTGCAAACGTTCTTCCAATCCTTGAAACAGTTGTTGGAGTTAATTTCTGGAATAGCCTTCAATGGGCGTAGCGATTCACTTTAATAGTCTTTAATGGACTAAAAACGGGTTTTCCTGAGCGGTCGTCTGAGTTTGCTGGATAATCAGTCTATGAAAGAAGAAGTGAATAACAAAATCGAAAGGGAAATAACGAATTTGGCTATATAAAACATCAAACTTATTGAACCGTTTGATGGCGATCGTAACTACTTGCCACTGTTCATACAAGATGCGACAGTCACCTGAAATATCAAGGCACAAAACATTTTATCTCCATTCTGTTAAACGAACACTGAGAGGCGCTGCATTAAATGTGGGAAGACGAGAATAACCACGGTATATAATGACGTTAAGGCAGTTACTTATTGACATGTTTGGGGATCGCACTTCAGTTACAACACTATTTAAAAAAAATATGTAGTATCAAATTTAACAATAATGTAATACATAATTTTTTGAGAGTAAAAGATGTAATGAAATTAAAGAAGTAGTTGCACTAAGATAATAAGTTGTAATACACTAAAGAGAATTACCAAATTATTTAACTGCGGTAATAAATGCTAAACTGACCTTAAGTCAATAAACAAAATGCTAAAAAAATTATGTTTATGAAAATAATAAAAAAAYATCTAATCAGAAAACTATTCAAAACAAGAAAAAACGATAACTTCGGCTGCACCGAAGCTAATATACCCTTCACAGGTGCATTTCTTTTAGTAATTATGTGTTTAAGCAAATCTAAAGACGTCACTGGCCAGTGGTTTTCATTCAAAGGGTAACATTTTACTAATTCTTTTTAGCCGGGTTGTTTGCTAGAAACATTAAGGTTATTTAATAAGGAAAATAAATCTTTTAGTCGTTTATGGTTATTTAAAATTTAATTTATTACTAACATAAGCTTAATGGGAAAAAAATTATAATATTTGTAGCATACTCGGGCTGAGTTCCCAATGACAAGATATAGCGTACTCGCTAAGTCCGACTCGCTGGAACGAATGATCCACCGATGTGCAGAAATAAACGACTGGACCAACKTCTCTTCACAATAGATCAATGCTTTACTTTATTACAGAAGTGGTGCTTTATCGAACTTTACAATATATAGATCAGTTTCACTTTTATTAAAGAACTGGTGCTTTTAATAAAACTGTACAATAAATCAATGAAAACAACTTTGAAATAGATAGATGCTTTATCTAACTTTCTCGGTCGCCGTCCGCTGTTCAAGTGAAGTCCGTTATTGGTTTTATTCCGTTCGAGTCCCCTTTTCGTTCAGTTATTGTTGTCGTGTGTCAAAAACATTCAGTCCGCACGGTCGCATTTCTTCGTCCTACATATTTCTATATTAGTACATATTTATCATATATATATATTTACAGTTTGCTTTATAAAAACACAGAGCAAATATAATATATATTTACTTATAAATTACATTGCTCWATGACTTACACCTAATATTATCGTACTAAGTTAAAATAATATTGAATCTAACATATAGTATGTATATCTACGTATGTACATATATAACATATCTATTTTCTAAAACTTAAAAATATTTCGTCATGATCACTATATGGAGTTTGATATGTGATACATGAGGTCATTGCTGGATCCATGTTTGTCCATACCCAATCTATTGCTGTTTGCTATTTTGTTGTGGCGGCGTTGTTCAATGCGGATTGAAAACCCAACTGTTGTAATCGAGCCTCTAAAGCGTCAGTTGCTGTGAGGCGACATATGTTAAAGTCTCMAAGGTCTACTGATGGTCCATTAAACTGCTCATTTATCTGACGGATATTATTCACCACTTGCTCTCTAAATTGTGGCAGTCTATACGTACACAAGTGATAAAGAAACTGTGGAATTGTTTACGTTTAATAGTTGGTAAACGTTTGCTGAACCTGTGATGTTCCTTGATAATGATCCTTCTGATAGATCTGAGCACCGATCTTGTTTTGAGTATATTATAAGGCCGTTGGCTGTCGTCGTCGGGATGACCTTGTTTCTCCATCAAGGCGTGCAATAAGATTTTAGCCCTCTATTGGAAATTCTTCTTTAGATAAAGTCCAAGCCTCAGCAAAGCACAGAATATCAGCAGAACAAATCAGTTTATCTGCTCTGATATCCCCAATATGCTTATTTATACTCTTTACATTTTGGTAATAAATATCCAGGCGTTGTTCCGATTTTTCGGCTAAAAATCTGTAGCATGTCGTCAACGCGCCTTCTGTCCTCAATCTATTAAGTTGAGTTTTAATGGGATCCTGCTGTCCAAATGGGTTCGGAGGAGAAAATTTCCCGATTATATATAATCCATTAGCATTTGTGGCTCTGCTACATCCTACATATAAAGCTGATCTGCTAATTCTACCCTCTAGATGAACCGCAACTTGAGCGTACGTTCCACCTTGGCWTTTATGTATCGTGATGGCTTCAGCTGGAATGACAGGGAACTGTCTACGTTCTGTAGTTATTTGTTCATTTCGCTTGTATTGGAAATCCGCATTACGACTATGCGGCTGCTTGGAACGTGCAAAGCTTCCAACTCTTGGTTCTGCGAATTTCATCCATAGTCGCACCACTGTTCAGATCCACCTGTATTAGTTCCCCTGTAGCACCATTTACTAATCCATCACTTGTGCTTATGTTGACTGTTACCATATATTTTATCGGTGTTTTGAGCTGCAATGTATGAGGCATTCCTGTAATGATCATTGCCATGTGGTGCAAATATCCATCGATCTCCTACTGGTGGCAACTGTTTTAAGTCACCAAACACGATAATTGGAATGCCTCTAAAGTGACCACTGCTCCTAAAAAATTGCTTTAGCCTACAATCTATCTTTGCTCCAACCATTGAAATTTCATCAATTATTATAAGCCTAATATCTATGAGATTAGCATGAATAGTGTTCAATGGGTCACTATTAAGGGGCGAGGATCGACGGTGGACTGGTTGACGGGGAGTGAAAAAACGGAATCAAGTGTTAGACCTCCAATTCCAAATGCTGCTTTGCCAGTGGGTACGCAGAGTAAGACCTTGGCTGTTTCGGGGTTAGTTCCTGTTACACTGTTAGCGCGCAATGTCAAAGACTGATATATAGTCGTTATAAGCCGGGTTTTGCCCACTYCAGCACCACCTCCGACACATTCGTAGAAGATTTTCTTCTTACTGACATTGTGCATTACGTGAGGAAAATATTAACTCTGCTTGTAGTTAAGAGATTGTACCATTGCCAATAAATCTCCTTCTAATATTAGAGGTGGTAGTTTAATTAATCGAACCGCTAGAGCTCTGAATTCGGGATCCAAAAGTTGAGAGGCAGCTCTCTCATCAGCTATTTCTTCCGCTAAAACATGCAGGTTTTCCAGGATCCGTTCAAGCTCGTTGGATAAAAATTTGTCATATTTGAGCTTATTCTGCTCAATTTGCTCCTTGTGTGCGTTGCAAACACTCTCGACATCATTACTTAAGAGCTCTACCTCCTCATTTCTCCAT